TTTTTTTTTTTTTTGGGTACAGGGTGCTGCTCTGTCACCTAGGCTGGAGTGGTGCAAGCTGGGCTCACGGCAATCTCCGTCTCCTCGGCTCAAGTGATCCTCCCACCTCAGCTTCCTCAGTAGCTGGGACTGCAGGGACTTTTTGCCACCACACTCAGCTGATTTTTGCATTTTTTGTAGAGATGGAGTTTCACCGTGTTGCCCAGGCTGGTCTTGAACTCCAAGCCTCAAGCAGTCTAACCGCCTTAGTCCCCCAAAGTGCTGGGATTGTAGACGTGAGCCACCACACCCAGCCTGATTTGCAGATACTTTCTCCAGTTCTGTAGGTTGCCTTTTCATTCTGTTGACTGCTTCCTGTGGTGCATAGAAGTTTTAAAGTTTGGTATAGACACATTTGTCTATTTCTGTTTTTGTTCTTTAATTTCTCTTAGCAATATTTTGTAATTTTCATTGTACAGGATATTTGGGGATCTGTAAGACTACCCTCAGGTTCAGTAATTTAAGACTGAACTCAGAAAAGGTTTTATATTCAAATTGTAGTTTAGTACATTGAAATGATATGGATTAAATTTAGCAACAGAAAAAAACACATAGGGCAAGGTTCAGGAGACACCACCAGGCACAAGCTTTCAATAGTCTTCCAGTGGAGTTGTGCACACAGTGCTTCATTGTTCCAGCAGCAGTGTGTGACAACATACTTGGAATATTGGCAACCAGGAAGGCTCACCAAGCCTTGGTCTCTGAGTCACACGTGGCTGACCTTAGTTCTGTGCTTCCTTCAGAGGCCAAGCTGATGAGTGACCCAAGGCCCCCACCGTAGATTACATTATTAGCGGAAACTAGTTGGCATGACCCAGTGCCTCATGTAAACAAAATAGTTTTTTTTTTAATTAATTAATTCAAAAAATTTTTTTTCTTTTTGAGGTCGAGCTTCACTCTGTCACTGAGGCTGGAGTGCACTGGTGTGATCTGAGCTCACAGCAAACTTCGCCTTCCAGGTTCAAGTGATTCTCATGTCTCAGTCTCCCCAGTAGCTGGGATTACAGTCACACGCCACCATGCCTGGCTAATTTTTGTATTTTTAGTAGAGATGGGCTTTCACTGTGTTTGCTAGGCTGGTCTTGCTTGAATTCCTGGCATCAAGTGGTCCACACACCTCAGCCTCCCAAAGTACTGGAATTACAGGCATGAGCCACCACACCCAGCCAGGAAGTCTTTAACAGGCAGGGTAGTCTAAGGTTTTCGAGGTTGTCTTCCAGGAGCTGGGCAGGGAAAACAAACCGTTCTTGACCTGTGCAGAGTTTGGGCAACGCTGATAATGTTGAGTTACTCCCTTTACTGTACTGCAGGCCTTGTACATCTTTTCATCCTTCGGGTTTCGGCTCATGTTGTCGTACTTCCTCAGACAGGTATTTTCTGGCCATATTATTTAAAAGTAGTCCCATACAAGGTGTTCTTTATCATATCACCTTATTTGTTTGTTTGTTTTTATTTTTTTTTATTATTATTTTGAGACGGAATCTTGCTCTGTCACCCAGGCTGGAGTACAGTGGCACGATCTTGGCTCATTGCAACCTCCACCTCCTGGGTTCAAGCGATTCTCCTGCCTCAGCCTCTCGAGTAGCTGGGACTACAGGCGCATGCCACTACGCCTGGCTAATTTTTTGTGTTTTTAGTAGACACGGTGTTTCACTGTGTTAGCCAGCATGGTCTCAATCTCCTGACCTCATGGTCTGCCTGCCTTGGCCTTCCAAAGTGCTGGAATTACAGGCGTGAGCCACTGCACCTGCCCTATTTTTTTTCTTTTTTAGTTGTCTTCTTGTGGAGCTGGGCTAGCCCATGGGCATTGCACTGAGAGTAGCCTGTTTATTCCTTTTATAGGACTATCCCACTGTTTAATTATCCTGTTTATTATCTGTTACCCTCTGCTTTAAAGTAGTTCATGAGAACCAGGAACCTTACCTGTTTGCTCCCTGTTGTATCCCTGGCACTACACCTGGCACAGTATCTGGCACATAGCTGGCATTTACCTATTTTAGGGGGAATAGTTCCCAGTGAAAATTGGAAAACTTGCTAGACAAATTTTAAAAGAGCTGTTGTAACACTTATTTTTTAAATTATGTAATTAATAATTAGTAATTAAATTAAGGCCTGGCACCATGGCTCATGCCTGTAATCCCAGCACTTTGGGAGGCTGAGGCAGGAGAATCACTTGAATCTGGGAGAATCTTGGAGAATTGCTTGAATCTCTGTAGAGCGAAGGAGAGATACAGTCTTCAGGATGAGAGACTATATATATATATAGAGAGAGAGAGAGAGAGACAGACAGACAGACAGACAGACAGACAGGCAGACAGATATATTCTTCAGAATGAGAGACATCACTCTGCCAGACACTTGCATGGCTCCAGCACCGGCATCCAATATCTGACCACATGTCAGCAGCCACTGCTGCCCCCGTGCGTGTGCTTGCTCTCTCTCTGTTGCCCTCGCTCGCTCTCTCGCACTCGCTCTCTCTCTCTATATCTCATATATGTCTGATATATATATAACATATATCTCATATATATATCGTATATGATATATTGATACGTATATTTTTTGATGAAGTCTTGCTCCGTTGCCCAGGCTGGAGTGTGGTGGCATGATCTCGCCTCCTGGGTTCAAGCTATATATGATATATATATATATAATATATATTTTGACTCTCATATATGATATATATGACATACATATATACTGTACACTAATATATACATATATACATATATGTATGATGTATGTAAATGTACATATGTATGTATAGAATATATATGTGACACATATATGTGTATCATATACATATATATCATGTATGTAATATCAGGAAAAAATATATATATATAAATATATATCACTTGAACCCAGGAGGCAAGATTGTGTCACCACACTTCACCCGAGACAACAGAGCAAGACTCCATCTCAAAAAAAAAAAAAAAACCATATATATATGTAAATATATGTATATATATTATATATACATATTTATCATGTATATAATACAAATATACATATATCACATGATATACATATATGTTGTCATACATATATATCAGTCAGAATTTAAAATGCAAATATACTTTGACCCAGCAATTATAGTTGAGAGAATTTACCAGTATGCCTACACATATGTTAAATGACTTATAGGGTACATTCACTGGCAGCATTGTTTGTAATAGCAAAACACTGGAAACAAATGTTCATCATTGGGGAATTGACCAAATAAATGATGATACATCGATATACTTGCAATGTACCTGGTTAATTATTTTTTGTTGTTTTTTTTTTAATTTTATTTATTTTTTTAAGAGATGAGGTTTCACTATGTTGGCCAGGCTGGTCTCGAACTCCTGACCTCAGGTGATCCACCCATCTCCGCCTCCCAAAGTGCTGGGATTACAGGTGTGAGCCAACACGCCCAGCCTAAATTAATTTTTTTTTTTTTTTGAGACGGAGTTTTGCTCTTGTTACCAAGGCTGGAGTGCAATGGTGCGATCTCGGCTCACTGCAACCTCTGCCTCCCGGGTTCAAGCAATTCTCCTGCCTCAGCCTCCCGAGTAGCTGGGACTACAGGCGTGCGCCACCATGCCCAGCTAATTTTTTTATTTTTAGTAGAGACCGGGTTTCACCTTGTTGACCAGGATGGTCTCGATCAATTGACCTCGTGATCCACCCGCCTCGGCCTCCCAAAGTGCTGGGATTATAGGTGTGAGCCACCGTGCCTGGCCAGTTAATTGTTTTTTTTTTGAGACGGAGTTTTGCTCTTGTTACCCAGGCTGGAGTGCAATGGCGCGATCTCGGCTCACCGCAATCTCCGTCTCCTGGGTTCAGGCAATTCTCCTGCCTCAGCCTCCTGAGTAGCTGGGATTACAGGCACGTGCCACCATGCCCAGCTAATTTTTTGTATTTTTAGTAGAGACGGGGTTTCACCATGTTGACCAGGATGGTCTCGATCTCTTGACCTTGTGATCCACCCGCCTCGGCCTCCCAAAGTGCTGGGATTACAGGCTTGAGCCACCGTGCCCGGCTAATTGTTTTTTAAGAATGAGGACTACCAGACATGGTGGCTCACATCTGTAATCCAGCACTTTGGGAGGCTGAGGCAGGAGGATCGCTTGAGCCCATGAATTTAAGACCAGCTTGGGCAGCACAGAGAGATCTCATCTCTGCAAAAAATTTTAAAAAATCAGCCAAGAATGATAGCACATGCCTGCAGTCCCAGCTACTCAGGAGGCTGAGGTGAGAGGATCGCTTTAGCCTGGGAGGTCAAGGCTGTGGTGAGTTGTGATTATGCCACTGCACTCCAGCCTGGATGACAGAGTGAAAATCTGTCTCAAAAATAATAAGAATGAGGATGTTCTTTATGTACTGATTTGTAGGAAAAATCTCTGAGATTCATAGTTAAATGGAGAAAATGCTGCATGGTACATTTACTGTACTACCATTTGTGTGAAAAGGGGAGTAAGAATATCTGTATTTGCTTGCATATGTAGAAAGAAACTTGGAAAAGATTCACGGGAGAACAATAATGGTAGTAAGCAGGGGGATTAGGAAACTAGGTATGTATTAAGAGGGAGACTGTACTTTATACCTTTTAATGCTTTCCTTGGAACCACGTGAATGTTTTACCTGCATATTTATTTAATTTTTAATTTTCTTTTCTTTCTTAATTTTTTTTTGAGATGGAATCTCGCTGTTGCCTGGGCTGGAGTGTAGTGGCACGATCTCAGCTTACTGCAACCTCTGCCTCCCGGGTTCAAGTGATTCTCCTGCCTCAGCCTCCCGAGTAGCTGGGCTTACAGGCACACACCACCGTGCCAGCTGATTTTTTGTATTTTTCATAGAGTCGGGGTTTCACCATGATGGCCAAGCTGGTTTTGAACTCCTGATCTCAAGTGATCTGCCTGCCTCGGCCTCCCAGAGTGCTAGGATTACAGACATGAGCCACTATGACCGGCCTTATTTTAAATTTTTGTTTTACCTGTTTAAAGAAGTAAATTGTACTTTTTTTTATTTTTTCGAAGAGCTCTATTTTTATTTCCTTTCAGTTATCTGTAGATTCTTATGTCACATTTTACTTTAACAGCACATTTAAATGGAATACAATCTTTAAATGGAAGCTGACAATTTATTTCCCTGGAGAATTTTTGAAGTATAATAACATTTGATTGATTGAACTTTATTTAGTAAGAACTCTTAGCAAAACTCCCTCCCAGGCACACCCACACAGTGCTTCCTTTTCAGTGAACTACAAATCTCTGAAACTCAAAACTCCAATCTAAAAGTACAAGATTGCTGGACTCAATGGCTCATGCCTGTAATCCCAGCACTTTGGGAGGCCAAGGCAGAAGGATTGCTTGAGCCCAGAAGTTGAAGACCAACCTACGCAACATGGTGAAACCTTGTCTCTACAAAAAATTAGTCAAGCTTCACCAACAACCTTTTAGGAATCATTCATTAATTAACTCAGTAAATATTTTCTGAGTATGTACTCTACTACAGGAGACAGTAGAGATCCAGCAAAGATTAAGAACATGTGTTGCCCTTAGAGAAAATTTACATTCTAAGGAGATAAAGATGAATAATCAAGTAACAAACAGGAGCTACATCAAATGATCATAAGTACTATTCAGAGAATTAAAACCAGCAGATCAACATAGAGAAAAGCTTTCTTACATTTGATAGGAAATTCTCTCTCTACCAGGAGAGAACTGAATGACAAGGTAGTCAGGTGGGAGAAGGGCATTCCAGCTGAAACAGCCCTGAACAGAGAACTAGAAAGGCAAGTTTGAGAAAAGGAATGGAGACAGGAGTAACAGTATGTGGTCAGAGCAAGGACCAAACCGTTTTAGACTTCATGAGCCTAAGAAGTTTTGATTTTGCTGGTAGCATGAGAAGAGGCCATATAATCGAGTTTTAAGTGGAGGAATTATATGATCTCATTTTGTTTAAAAAATCATCCTGGCTGTAGTGTGGAGAATGGACTAGGGGAGCATAAAAGCAGAAAGACCAAATTAGAAGCCTATTAACAGTAATCCAAATGACAGATAATAGTGGTTTGAACCACAAAGATTGTGGGCATGGAAGTAGATAGAACCAGGAGACATTTTAGAGGTATTCTGGCAGAATTTTTGGCTGACTAGATACAAGTACTAAGGAAAATAAAGGAATCAAGAATAATTCCTGTATTTGGGACTTGAGAAACTGAGAGAATGGTGCTGCTGTTCACAAAAATGGAGAAGATGGAGGAGAAGCTTAGAATAGTAGGAGAAGGGCCGGGCGCGGTGGCTCACGCCTGTAATCCCAGCACTTTGGGAGGCCGAGGTGGGTGGATCACGAGGTCAAGAGATCGAGACCATCCTGGTCAACATGGTGAAACCCCGTCTCTACTAAAAATACAAAAAATCAGCTGGGCATGGTGGCACATGCCTGTAATCCCAGCTACTCAGGAGGCTGAGGCAGGAGAATTGCCTGAACCCAGGAGGCGGAGGTTGCGGTGAGCCGAGATCGCGCCATTGCACTCCAGCCTGGGTAACAAGAGCGAAACTCCATCTCAAAAAAAAAAAAAAAAAAAAAGAATAGTAGGAGAAATCAGAGATGGAAATAAATGTTTGGGAAACACATTTTTCTACTTCCATAGTGCCTACAAATTTCTGTTGATAGACTAAAAATGTCTGGAATTTTATATGCAATTTCATCTGAACAATACCCTAAGAGGAGATCAGTTATACCTTGGCATATGCTAGTAGCCATAGGAATGTATATATGTAGAATAAATGGTCAAACTACTGAGTGCTTAGTATCTATCAGACACCATGACATACGTCTTTGAAGTACTATCCCAGTAGAATTTACAACAGCCCTATCAGGAGACACTTTTTACAATCATCATTTTACAGATGAAGACATTGAAGTTCAAAGAGGTTAAATAACTTGCCACAAGTCACATTATATAGAAGAGAAATCCAAATCGTGGTAGTCTGACCCCAGAACTTGGGCTAATTACCACTATATAATGCAGTGTCACTGGGGTAAACCCAAGATAGTCTTAACATAAGTTAGAGACTTTTAAATTCCAAATTTCACACACTGTGATTTCACCCATAAAATGTAGTGATGCAGCCATGGTCTTCTGATGAGTTGGAGCACCCTATAAAATATTTTCAGAACTTGCTTCTTTTATTTTCACATGTGTATGTTCATTCATAAATTAAATCTGGGCAACCAGTGAATCTGCCGTTTTTGTCTCTAACCAACACTTCTTTAACCAAATTGTACTTTTTTTTGAGACGGAGTTTCACTCATGTTGCCCAGGCTGGAGTGCAATGGCGTGATCTCGGCTCACCGCAACCTCCGCCTCCTGGGTTCAGGTAATTCTCCTGCCTCAGCCTCCTGAGTAGCTGGGATTACAGGCACGCACCACCATGCCCAGCTAATTTTTTGTATTTTTAGTAGAGACGGGGTTTCACCATGTTGACCAGGATGGTCTTGATCTCTTGACCTCGTGATCCACCCGCCTCGGCCTCCCAAAGTGCTGGGATTACTGTACTTTTTTTTTTTTAAGATGGAGTCTCCTGTCACCCTGGTTGGAGTGCAGTGGCATAATTTTGGCTCACTGCAACCTCTGCCTCCTGGGTTCCAGGGATTCTCCTGCCTCAGCATCCCAAGTAGCTGGGATTACAGGTGTCCACCACCATGCCCCCCCAAATTTGCATTTAAAAAAAAAAAAAAAAAAAGAAATTAAAACAATTTTTTTTCCTTAGAGATGGTGTCTTACTACATTTCCTGGGCTGGACTTGAACTCCTAGGTTCAAACTATCCTCCTGCTTTAGCCTCCTGAGTAGCTGGGACTAGGCATGTGCCACCATGCCTGAAACAATCAGTTTTAAAAGTATTGTCTGGCCAGGTGTGGTGGTTCACACCTGTAATCCCAGCACTTTGGGAGGCTGAGGCTGGTGGATCATGAGTTCAGGAGTTCGAGACCGGCCTGGCCAACATGGTGAAACCCCATCTCTACTAAAAATACAAAAATTAGCCAGGTGCGTTATTGAACACTTGTAATCCCAGCTACTGGGGAGGCTGGAGAATTTCTTGAACCTCGGAGGGGGAGGTTGCAGTGAACAGAGATCGTACCACTGTAGTCTAGCCTGGGTAACAGCAAGACTCTCTCTTGGTGGGGGGGGAGCGGGGGGGGGGGGGGGTTAAAAAAAAAAAAAAAAAGGTAGTGTCCATGGTCTGGCGTGGTAGCTCATGACCACAATCCCAGCACTTTAGGAGGTCGAGGCGGGCAGATCACTTGAGGCCAAGAGTTCAAGACCAGCCTGGCCAACATGGTAAAAACTCGTCTCTACTAAAAATACAAAAATTAGTCAAGTGTCATGGTGCATGCCTGTAATCCCAGCTACTTGGGAGGCTGAGGCACTAGAATTGCTTGAACCTGGGAGGCAGAGGTTGCAGTGACCCAAGATCATACCACTGCACTCTAGCCTGGGTGATATAAGGAGACATTGTCTCCAAAAAAAAAAATAAATAAAGATAAAAGTAGTAATCCCAGCACTCTGGGAGGCTGAGGTGGGTGGATCACCTGGAGTCAGGAGTTTGAGACCAGCCTGGCCAATATGGTGAAACCCCATCTCTATTAAAAATACAAAAATTACTTGGGCATGGTGGTGGACACCTGTAATCCCTGCTACTTGGGAGGCTGAGGCAGTAATAATAATAAAAGTAATATCCAACATACTGCAAAGAGGAAGGGTTTGTGAATGTGTGTATTACTGTTAAGCAGTGTTCTAGTATCCATCTCATTATCAGTCTTGGGCAGGGCAGGGCAGAGCAGGGCAGGGCAGGGCAGGGCAGGGTTGAGTTAGCTAATGTTCATTATAAACCAGATCATCCAGTTGAGGATTGTGAATGAGCATATGATTGCCCCTTTCATGCTAGACTTAGCTAATTAAACTGTTCATATGACATAAAAGGATGGCTGTGTGGTGCTATAGAAAGAACACAAGTTTTGAAGCAAGAGACTTTGGTTTGATTCTTAGCTCTGCTGTTTTCTGGTTTTGAGATTTTGGATAAATTGCTTTTGTGTTCACTTACCAAAACTTCTCGAGACATATAATAAATGAGACAATGTGACAGTGCCTTGTAAATATCAAATACCGTATAAAGATGGCTATTATTACTTGTATATTTATTGTAAACGTTAATCAGCCAGTCAAGTTTTTCAGACTTGTATTGCTGAACATCAATTGCAGATATAACATTCTTGGCAGATGACTTAAGTCACCTCCTTCTCTGGAAGAATAGGAGTATGAATTCGCAATTCTCAATTCTCCTGCTGCTCCTTGCTTTCTGTCACACTGTTCTGGTCCCTTTGGCCTCACCTTCCTTATAAACATTTCCATTGTACTGGGCTTTAGCCACTCTGGAGACTTATGTTCAGCAAAAATAATCTTTGTTGATGGGTGGTGTATATATTTCTACCTGTTATGCTTTAGAATAATTTCCTTTCCATTTCTCATAGGGTTTGGGTCTTCATAACTATTTGAAGAGAAATCCTGACCTCCAGACTGAAGGAGAGGGAACCATGCCTTTATAAGGGCAGCCTCTCCTCTTTTTTGTTCCCCTCTGTCTTAGTTCATTTTGTATTGCTAATAAGAGAATACCACAGACTGGGTGATTTATTTATTTGTTGTTGTTTGTTTTCTTCTTTTTTATCTTTTTAAATTCTTTTGTTTTTCTGAGACTGGGTGATTCATAAAGAAAAGAAATTTATTCAACTCATGGTTCTTGAGGCTGGAAGGTCCAAGAGTATGGTTCCAGTATCTGAGGAGAATTATCCCATGGTGAATAGGCAGAAGGGCAAGAGAGAGCTTGCCTTTTTTTTTTTTTTTTGAGACGGAGTTTCACTCATGTTACCCAGGCTGGAGTGCAATGGCGCGATCTCGGCTCACTGCAGCCTCCGCCTCCTGGGTTCAGGCAATTCTCCTGCCTCAACCTCCTCAATAGCTGGGATTACAGGCACGCACCACCATGCCCAGCTAATGTTTTGTATTTTAGTAGAGACGGGGTTTCACCATGTTGACCAGGATGGTCTCGATCTCTTGACCTCGTGATCCACCTGCCTCGGCCTCCCAAAGTGCTGGGATTACAGGCTTGAGCCACCGCGCCCGGTGAGAGCTTGCTTTTATAACAAAGTCACTCCCATGATAACCAACCCATTCCTGCGATATTGACATTACAGGTTGAGTATCCCTAATTTGAAAGTCTGAAATTCAAAATGCCCCCAAATCCACAACTTTCTTGAATATCAACCTGAGTCTCAAAGGAAAGGCTTATTGGAGTATTTTGGATTTTGGATTTTCATATTTGGTATGCCCAACTTGTAAGTATAATGGAAATATTCCAAAATGCAAAATCTGAAACACATCTGGTCCCAAACACTTCATATAAGGGATACTGAACCTGTAATTCTTTCATGAAGGCAGAATCCTCATGACCCAGTCACCTCCTAAAGGCCTTACCTTGTGATACCACAGTGGCAGCCAAGTTTCCAGTACATGAACTTTTGTGGGGGAACATTCAAACTATAGCATTCTCCTTTATTATGCCTTACCCTAATCCATTAGTTTTAATCCCCACTTTGTCTCTTCCTCTAATCTTTTGTTATATATGTAAAAAAAACATCCATCCTATAGGCTACCAATCTTCCTCTGATCTTAAGTCTACACTTTGACTCGATTGGTATGCTTAAGTCTCTATAGCTCTAAAATAACCTTTTCTAGTTTTTTTATTGTCTTCATTTCCAGTGGGGTTGGATAACTTTTTCAAGTTTAAATCCCCCTCTATTGCAAGCCCCTTTCACTTTTTTTTTTTTTTTTGCTTCAAAGAATGATTGCCTTTACCTTCTCAATTCTCACTTATTTTCCAGTCCATTATGATTTATGACCCTGATAACAAAGAGCTGGGTTCCTGGTTAAACTTCACCCTTAAGCCTGCAACTGCAGCCTTAAGTGAAAACAGCTTTTTTTCCCCACCCAAATGTTACCTTTTTGGCCTGCCGCTCCCCTATCCTGTGCCCCAAAAAAAGATTTCAGCTGGGCTGGGCACACTGGCTTACGACTGTAATCCTGGCTCTTTGGGAGACCGATGCAGGCAGATCACCTGAGGTCAGGAGTTCAAGACCAGCCTGACCAACATGGCAAAACCCTATCTCTACTAAAAATGCAAAAATTAGCTGGGCATGGTGGTGGGCGCTATAATCCCAGCTACTTTGGGAGGATAAGGCAGGAGAATTGCTTGAACCTGGGCAGGGGAGGTTGCAGTGACCCCCCCCTGCACCACTGCCCTTCCCCCTGGCAGCAGAACAAAAACACCTCTCAAAAAAAAAAAAAAAAAAAAAAAAAAAAAAAAAATTCAGGTGGCAGAACAACACAAACAACTAAATGTCAGGGATATAAATGGCTGAGTGTTGGAAATACAGGTGGCTGATCATCAGAAATACAAGCGACTGAGTGTCAAGGATACAAGCGGCTGAGCAGTGAGCAGAGAAGCAGCTGAGTGTTGGAGGCTATGGACAGATGTGGTAACTTCAGATGGTGCTCCTTTGAAGAAAGCGCCTGGCTGGAGATGGCCTAGCTTCAGGGAAAGATCACCTTCTTCCCACACCGTTCCCTTTCCAACTCTCCATCCTGCTGAGAACCACTTCCATCATGCAGTAAAATCCGCTGCATATACTACCCTTTAATCTGTTCGTGTGACCTGATTATTCCTGGATGCCAGACAAGAACCTGGTTGCCAAGAGGAGAGGGCAGGGGCTGCCACCCTGACCCCCCACTGAGCTGGTTGGCACTTGGCCATCCCCGAACGGCAGAGTTG